AATACTAAATACTAATAAAGCTTATATATACGCCACTAGCGATATTTATAAAGGTCGATATTTTAGTGACCTTTAGCGACTGATTTGTAACAAATAATAATACAAACTGCAAGGTAATTATCAAATATAATTAAGTAACAGTAGAAATACCCCTTAGATCTAAATAGTGTGGATATCAATGGTGTTTTTAGCGTGTCCTTTGAAGATTGAAATCGATGGGCTTGGCGAGACAAAACGGCGCGGTAGAGACGACTAGGACGAGACGGGTTGGGAATGCCTGACTATTCCTGGTCGCGATTTGCGTAAGAATGCCAAAAAAAAGCCGAAGCCTAACCTCGCGGTTCAACTGGAATCCCGAGTAACTATATTTAAGGCATTGTAAATATAGATAATATTTGAGTATATTTGTTTKTATGCGGTATCACTTGTCATTTGTTATTCATGCAGTGCGGTGTGCACGTCTGTAAATGCACTAAGTAGTTGTCCGTAATCAGATTATGCTATATTAGGCTTGTCAGTCAAGTACTTATGTGGTATGACCGTAGTTTTACTATGTAGAAATTTGTACATTGGACCGAAAATACTGCATTTAGTAATTTCACTATCCATATATAKTTYATCTTACGAYTACTGAGGTATAGCGCATGAGCAGGAATGAGGCAGTATTTTTACTTTTTTGTAACCATTTTGGCACGGCACACCTTTCAGTGCGTATCATTCACGCGTTTAGGTTGTTACTACAACATATCGTTGTTTGTTGCTATTTATCACATCATCTTGGAGCATTTTTAGATACTTTCTCGATACTAGCTACTTTTACCAGTTATCAGTGCATGGTAAGTATGATTGATTTCCTGTCGTACAAAGTATTCTCATGATATTTCTAAAACTCCTCTTAATTAAATGTAACGTGTCCTTTATTTCTCTGCACGCRCAGATGGCATCYGAAAACAGGCGTCTCCTGTGCTTAARAGAAGCAAGAAAAATTGGTCTAACATTGGCTTTAGACCCCAATAGTACCAGAAATCGCTGCTTTTACGAGTGCATGGGGAAATTCTTCGACATGAGCTGCGACGATATAATTGATATGSTTGAAGACTTTATGSTTTCCAACCAAGTGCTGGACACTGTCAATGAGGTGAAGTAGCCATCATGTTTTCTGTATATTTGTTTCTTAGTAGTGTGCCAACGTTATTCATATGTACTATTGCTGTTTAATAGCTGTGACATCGTTGTCCATGAGATGGTGGGGGTAGTTACATATTAATAGGGTCCTGAGGGGGTAAAATGGGAATGGGATTGGCCTAATTTTGAGCTTTGAAAATGATGTGAAAAAGTGAAAAATCACATGATATAGAATGGGATTTTTAAAATAAACATAGATTGGGAATAGGAATTTGAAGACTGGGAGTGGGATTTTGAAGAAAAACAGACTG